GAGGAGGAGGAGGAGGAGGTTGAGAGACCGCCTCGGCCTGCGGGCAGCAACCCCTGACCCAGACTGCAGGGGGGAACAGGCAGCTGCAGGCCGCTCGCGGTGCCAGGCGGCGAGGCAGCGCAGAGAAGAGGAGGAGGCGGAGGCCAGGAGGAGGAGGACATGGAGGGGGTTGAGGAGGAGGAGGAGGAGGAGGAGGAGGAGGAGGAGGAAGACGAGGAGGAGGAGGAGGAGGAGGAGGAGGAGGAGGAGGAGGAGAAATGGAGGAGGAGGAGGAGGAAGCGGAGGCCAGGAGGAGGAGGAGGGGGAGGAGCCGAGCGTACCCAGAGGTTCGGGCCCCGCACTAAGCGGCAGCTGACGGGGCGGCGGCGGCGGCTGGGGGCCCGCCCGATGAAGAGCTCCGCGAGGCGCCAGCAGGTGCGGCCGCGGCCGCTCTTTCAATATTCAACGAAGCACTGCGGATGGAGGCACAAGCGCCGAGGGGGGAAGCGGGCGTGGAGCAAGCAGAGGCAGGAGCAGCGAGGCTCAGGAGCGAAGGGCGGGGGGGGAGGCCAGAAAAAGAGCGGAGATGCAGGGTGGGGTGAGAGGCGGGAAAAAGGCGATGCTGGCGGCGCCAGCGCCGATGGGGGGAGCGGGCGGGAAGCAGACAGCTGCGCAAGCATGGAGGCTCAGGAGCAACGGGCAGGGGAGAGGAGGACAGAAAAGAGCAGCAGGAGCGGAGGCAGCGGGAGCGCGCTCTGGGGGGTGCAACACGGCGGCGCGAGCGGCAGAAGCGGGGACGGGGGTCACAGATCGGGGAGAGGTCGAAAATATAAAAGATCTGAAAGCAATGCGGAGAGGGATCGAGGGGGCGGCAGGGCTCATGGGCGCCGTCGCCCAGCACGGACGGGAATGGTAGGTGGGAGAAATGTCGGTCGGGCCAGGGCTATGGGTGGAGGCCGCGGCCGACCACCCATCACCCCCGCCGCCGTCACTGCGGCCGAAGCCTCCGGAGGCACTCGGCGCGGGTCTGTCCAAGTTCGTCCGCGCCCCCACCTGCGCCGTTGCAGCCGATCTCGAATGCGTGACCGCTGTCCCCGCGGCACTCGGGGATGAGGGCGCCCAGGAACGCGTGAATCCCGCGGAACTCGAGAGCGCCGCCGGCCATCCCGCAGAGGTCAGAGCCGAGGGCGTCCAGAGGTGGGACGGCTCCACAGGGTCAGTATTTCCTCCGACAAGTGACGACGGCGAGCCCGGACACGACAACGGGACTTGCGAACTAACGCCACCAGAGGTTGGGTCCTCCTCGAGGCATCCAAGACGCGGCGACGTGAAGCCCGGACACGACAACGGGACTTGCGATCTAACGCCGAGACCTAGAGGGCCCGCGTCGACGCATCCAACTCGTGGCGACGGCGAGCCCGAACACGACAACGGGACTTGCGATCTAACGCCAGAGGTTAGGTCGTTCTCGAGGCATCCAAGTCGCGGCGACGTGAAGCCCGGACACGACAACGGGACTTGCGACCTAACGCCACCAGAGGTTGGGTCCTCCTCGAGGCATCCAAGACGCGGCGACGTGAAGCCTGGACACGACAACGGGACTTGCGATCTCACGCCGAGACCCAGGGGGCCCGCATCGAGGCGTACAACTGGAGGCGACGGCGAGCCCGAACACGACAACGGGACTTGCGCTCAACACCTGTTGAAGGTGGCATGAGCACGGCAGGTGGCGACGATGCGCCCGAACACGACAACGGGACTGGCGCTCGAACGCCACGGTTCGGACCGAGAGGAAAGGAGAGGCACGTCCAGCAGGTGGCGACTCAGGGCCCGCGCTCCCAGGCAGGACTTGCGCCCTAACGCCGACCGCCAACGACGAAGACGGCGCAAGCGGAGCACGCGAGCCACTCGAGGCCGTCGATGAAGTCGCAGAAGAAGCAGAGGACGAGGAAGATGAGCTCCGCGAGCTGGCCGTAGATCTCCTCGCCACTGACGTACTGGATGAGCCTGAAACCGAAGACGAGGACGAGGAAGAGGCCCGCCGAGGCCCGAGAGGCAGGGGGGCCAGGAGAGAGCGCCCCTCCTCGGAGAGCCGCCGCGGCGTGGCAAGCCGCATCGAGCGAACACCAGCCAGCGCAGCACTGCGAATCGCAGGCAGTGGGAGCGGCCACTCGGCGGAGCGCCGCGCAACGTTGCACGTTGAGTGGGCGGCCGTCATCCACGAGAAGGCGAGAAGAGTGGGATGCCGTAGTCCGCACTTCACCATGGGATCACGCGTCAGCTGTCGTCCGAGCGCGGCCTCGGGAGAGACGTGGAGTCGAGGGCGTCGGAAATAGTGCACAAGCGCATCGCGATGTGCCAAGCGCCCGAACGCACAACATCTCCTCTCACAGGGGTGTAGGACACGCGAGGAGGTGAGCCAGCCGTCGCGCCAGGTGCGAGGCGCCGCCCACGCCCAGGAGCAGGGGCAGCGCCTGAGGAGCAGGCCGACGTCGCCCCACTCGATCGCGTCGATCAGCTCGGGTCTCGCCCCCGCGAACTTGAGGAGACGCCGCCGAACATGATCGCGAAGATGAGCCGCGTTGACAGCATGCTCGCGCATCGCCCGATGCGCAGCGCGCTGGGGGCGAGGACGCACGCTGAGAGACGGGGCGAGGGCATCGAGGGCGGCAGGGCGACCGCAGGCACGCAAGCCCACCCACGGCCCAGGCGGCGGGCGCCCGACAGCAGCAGCGCGTAGGTTCTCCACCAGAGCGGGGGAGCGCCAGCGAGTGGGATCGCACCGCCCAGAGCTGAGCATCAGGAGCGACTGGTCCGCAACGTGCACCTTCGCGTGCGACTGCTGGCTGGTCAGGATCTCGCTGCACTGAGGGGAGGTGATCAGAGCCGCGCGCAGCAGCGAAGCCGCGTTGAGGAGGGGCCATCGCACCACACGGGGCTCGCTCCACATCTCAATATGGGACCACGCCTCGGCCGCGAAAGTGCCAAGAGCCACTCGAAATACCTGTGCTAGGGCGCCCGTCTCAAGGCGGGGGGCATCCCTCGGGAGCCGTCAGAATTGAGCAATGCAAGATCGTGTTGTGACAGTTCTTCAATTGTAAATGCTCGCAGACATCGAAGCAGGCGTGAGGCCTACACTAAGAGCACGAGCCCGAAGTCGAAGCATGGTGTTCGGGTCTCTCCAGATCCTTTCAGGATCAACCGCGGAACCATGCCAGACGCCCAAGTCCAGTAGGGGCTCAGCGATCTCGAACGAGGCCCAGCCAGGGGCAGCGCTCTCAATGCAGTCCCTAAGGCGGCACTTCAGATTGTCACTCAAGGCTTCAGACAACGGAACCAATTTGCACTTCTGCATCTTAAGAGCTAAGTTCGCAAAACGGCCAGCCATCGTCATCACATCGTAGATTTCCGTTAGACGTTGGGCACCACGAAGAGCCCCCACCAATATTATCCGCACATGCGTGGATGACCCCAGACCCACGTGAGTCGATACGAGAAGCCAAATCGATCAGGAAGGGCGATGGGGGCAAGCGCGTATAGCGAGCCTGATCGCGCACGCTCTTGGAGAACCCCGCTTCGGACACAATAGAGATGCGAGCTTTGCCCCGCCACCGCAGCAAAACCCTCGATAGCAGAATGAAGGAACGAAACGAAGACCAGGAAGGCGGGCGGCAGCTGGATCGAGGAGAGGACGAGCACGAGGTCAGGGAGGGGAAGGCCAGGCCGAAGTCCAGGGAGAAGAGGATCGGGACGTCCTGGGACTCAGACGGGAGAAGGGAAACAATCCTGCCGGCGGCGTCCAGCTCCAATGCGTTCAGGCCAGGGTTCCTCCTGGGAGCGAGGCCCCGTTGGCAGGCAGGAACAACGTGATCAAGTGCAGGTCGGATAGAAAAGTTCACGGTGGCAGAAAGTATCTGGACGTCGCAATTGCGTCGGTCTAGGACGCGAACTTTGTCGGTGGAACGCGTGCACGAGCCACTCTGCAGCTCGTCGATGTCGAACTCGTTTCGGGGGGAACGCGTGGACGGTTGCACTCGCAGCATCAAGCAGGACCTGGCCCGTGGAGACCCACTCGAGGCAGGCCCAGAGGACCTCGAGGCCAGACGGCTCGGCCTGCCAGGCCGCATAGGGGAGCCCGTCTTCACCAGTAACCGAGTGCCGCGCACGAGCGGGGACCGACTTTCATCATCTTGAACGAGGGGGGCGGAATGGCGAGGTCACCGACGGGGGGGGGGGGGGGGGGGGGCAAATCGCAGATGCAGGGTGTCGCCGGAGTCTCGCCCCACGATTTCCTTGAGAAAACAAGGGCCCAGAACTCGCGGAGGCACAAGAGCCTCTCCTCGCGCGTGGAAGCAGGCGAGAGATCCGCAGCGGTGATCGCGGCGAGCGAGGCCCGTCGGTTGAGTGGAGACCAAATCCTCGCACGCCTCTCCGACGCCCGCAGCTGGGCCCTGACCTGTGGCGACTCGCCACCGGCCTCGCACTGCCTGCGAAGCTCGGCGCGCGCAGCGTCTGCCGCCTCGCATTGAACTCGATTAGACCAGGCCTGGAAAGATTCGGGGCGAAGCAATCGTACCGCACCATGCTCAACCACCAAGGAGTCTTACTCCACAGCATGAGAGTGGAATAGTTTTTCCCCGAGAACAATATCCTGCCTCCACACGCACCGAGCAATCGAACGTGCAAGATGCAGGACAGTACGTGGATGGTGAAGGCGAGCACGAAAGAGACGATCACGGGCCCCACAAGCGGCGACGCGAGCCAGCTCTTTGCACCGCTCGAGGCGACGAGGGGGAGAGAAGCGAGGCAGGTCGGCGCGCTCGACGAGAGCGCGCAGCCGCTGGCGATAGAACGGGCACCAGAACACACGAGGGTCGATCGGCCGCTCGTCGCTGGGACGGGGGCGCCTCGGCGAGATAGCGAGAGCAAGCACGACATGGTCCGACGCAAGAGTATCCTATACTTCAGCGGCTGCACCGATGGCGTTAACTTGGAGAATTAACTGGCATAGCACCCACCCAGGGCACGAGAGAAAGAGACGATCGATGCACGATTCAAAGTTGCGTGTTTTTTTCCCCCGCAGCGGGCGGGCGCTGCGCACGCCACCTCCATCGGCTCGGCAAGCGCGTGGCGCCGTGAGGGCGCCCGCGCGTGGCGCCGCCGATCAGCGAGGCGGACCGCAGCCTGCGGCGCGCGCAGAACCGCAGCCTCCTCCGACGAGAAACTGAAGCCCCCGTCGACGATGACGAAGCGCTTGGCGGGGCCCCTGACCGGGAAGGCCCGAACACCACGGATGACCCGAACCACCGCCGCCACCTGCGTAGCCGTGAGCTCGTGATTGTGGACGTCGAAGGTGTCGAGCTGGATGCCGGCGACTTCGACCATCACGTGGATGGCGCTCCCAGCCACCAGCGGGACAGCACGACTCTGAACAAGGTGACCACCCACAGCGCTGAAAGCAGGTAGGGCGACCGCCACACCACCGCGAACACGCTCCTCGGGAGCGTCGCCACAAAATGAAGCGCGAATAGTGACCTTTGGGCCGGCGCCCCGCATGAACCCACTGAGTTGTCCAGCATATTGCCGAACCCCCTAGAGAGAGACAGTGCTGTTGCCGATGCTCAACTCCTCGACGCACCTCCTCTCGAGCGCAGCCTTCGCCCCAGCCGATTGCAAGAGAGCCCAGACATTCCAAGCCACTACACCTAGAGGAGGAAAAGCACCACCAGGTACAGGAGTGGAGCATTTGAACACCTTCGCAACATCAAAGACACCACTGCGGCCCAGCTTGCGGCGCCACGAGGTGGCGCGTGAGCTGCGCGAGGTTGTTATTGCACAAGTCGTGCCTCTGTTGCGCCGCAAGGTCCCACGCGTTGGTAGGTGGAGCAGCGCCTGCAGCAACTTCGACCCGAAGGATCTTACCCCATCCGACCGATAGCGTGCCGCGGTCGCGGTCGCTGAAGAGACGAAGGTCGGGGTGGGCCTCGGTGATGGTGGAGCGACAGCGGCGGAGCAGCATCTCGGCCTTGATCTGACGAGGGTTCCTGTCGGGGCCGAGGTGCATGCGCGCCTGAGCGGCGCATGGCACTTTCCACGTGGAATTCTTTCCACGCACCATCCACGCGTAAACGAGAAAGAACACGAAGGACCTTGCGCGAGGCGGCGGCGACGAGGCAGCCGAACTTGAGGATGAACTTCTTGCAGGGCGCCTGCCCCGCCGGGGAGATGTCGTAGTCGGTCTCGGGGAAGCCGAGCTCTCCAAGCCACTCCTTGAGCGCCGGGCACACGAGCTGCTTCGTGGTAGCTGCCTGGCACATAATGATGACCACTGTGGCGTCGACATCACGCTCGAATCCCTGCGGGACAGCGAGCGGGGCCTGAGGACGCTTCTCGGCAATGGCGAGCTGGTCGCGGAGCTCGCGCATCTGATTCTGGAGTTCGCCCACATCTCCTTCGATAGACGAGATACGAGCACCATGATCTTGATGAGTGCCTGTGCACACATCCATCTGCTCCTGGAACCGACGAGAAGCGTCATCGACATTGCGACGAGCCACGCCCAGAACCTGCTGATCGAGCGCTGCGGGTTGACCAACAAGCTCACTCCAAAGTTGGCCGACGAGGGCAAGCACCTTCCCATTGGTCGTAGCCACATGGTCGGTGACACATAACTTGACGGAGTTCGCCAACTCCTTCCTGACGCCCTCCAAGAGAGTCGGGAAGAGATCCATGCACACCTGGCGGACATACTCGTCCGACATATACGTATCCTCGGTTTCCTGGTCGCAATCATCAGCAGAAGCATCACGCTTGCGGGGAACGAACTCGCCGAAGCTACTCGCAGGAGAAGAGTCACCAGGAGGAGCAGCACAACGACCACCCTTGCCCGCACCGCCCGCGGGCGCGGGCGGAGAATCCTGTGAGCCGAAGGTGGGACAGACGTCGATGGCGGCAGCGTCCTGGGTCGTGAGCTGGTGGGCAGCATCGGCGGCCATGGTCGTGAAGCTTGACGCGATCGGACCGACAGGAAGGGGAAACGCCTCCGTTTACCCACCGACCCAAGCGCAGGGAAGGTGGACGAGAAAAAGCGCCAGACTTCAAGAAGTCTTGCCAGCCGCAGACTAGCGGTATCCGCTTGGTTCCCAAGGGAAACCTGCATCTTGAGCCAAAATGGTTACGGAGGAGGAGGAGGAGGAGGAGGAGGAGGAAGACGAAGGACAAGGGGGGGCAGCGGGCAGCCGCTGATGAGCGCCAGGCTCGGCGCTTCCTCCATCCTCCACCTCACATGCATCCTCCTCCTCCTCCTCCTCCTCCTCCTCCTCCTCCTCCTCCTCCTCCTCCTCCTCCTCCTCCTCCTCCTCCTGCTGCGTCTCACCCAACCCTTTTCGCCGCAGAACTCCACCACCTCCTGGCCCGGCCGCTCCGCGGACGCGGGCAGCCCGAAGCACAGGCCCGCGGGGGGCCCTCTCCCCAGACGTCCGACGACGTGCGTGCTCTCTCGATCCGCAGCCCCAAGGGAGGCCCCGGCCTCTTCCTTGGGGCTAGTGCTTCGCCTTGGGTCCATGTTTGATGCTCCTGTGGTGGGCTTGTTTTCCACCGCCACCACCAGAAGTAGGACGGGGAGGGGGTCCTCCTCCCCCTCTTCTTCTTCATCCTCTTCCTCCTCCTCCTCCTCTTCCTCCTCCTCCTCCTCATCCTCCACCTCCTGCCCCCTACAACTTATTGTGGCGGTGGTGGTGGAAAACAGGCCTATCACCCTCGGCCCCAAAACGTCCCCTGAGGGGCCGAAATTGAAGGCCGCGTTCAGTTCCTAGCGTTGCCAGCTTGCGGCGGTCACACACCCGTGTTGGCGGGCACGTCGTGTGACCCCTCTCTGGAGCCGTCGGGGGGAGCCCTCGGGAGCCCAACGGGGCTGGTGTGACCCCGTGTTGGCCCCGTGACCCAACGGGACTATGTGACCTCGTCTTGGCCGTGACCGTCGCTCCAGCACAAAGTCCCGTGACGAGAACAAACACCGTCGGCGAGCGAGGGGGGAAGTGAGAAGGAGAAGGCCTTCTCAGAAGGCGACAGGACTTCTCAGAAGCCCTCCAGCCTTCTGAGAAGTCTTCTGTGCCTTCTGAGAAGTCTCCAAGAACGTCTCAGACGGCCACAGAACTTCCGAGCCTTCTGAGAAGGCCGGCCCCTCCTCATTTCTACCCAGGGTTCGCCGCCGACAGAAAAACGGCTGGGTTGTCGCCAGGCTTAGGTCGGGCATGTCCCCCTACAGGCGGATTCTTAATAATAGTCCAAAAATGTGCACAAATGGTCCAAAATGATAGAACAATCGTCCCCTATACTACTTTTGACTATTTTAGGATATTCCTCATGAGACGTCAGGCCTTGTGCAGGGACCGACCGTCCCAGCATTCGCATAAACCTACCATGACATGTTCTCAGAACCCCAGAATGTTCTAAGGACCAAGACAACGTTCTTGGGACAAATTCCCGATGTCACACAGCAAGACAATATGAGCCAGAAATGTTCTAAAAACATAAGCCGACCAAACAATGGTCTAAGAACCTTCTGAAAAGGTTCTTAGAACATTGTTTGGTCGGCCTAAGGCGAGCCAGGACGCTTCGCCACTGCTCGAAGGCCACCGGAGGCACGGGGGCGCGCTGGCCCGGAGCAGCGGGCCGCCCGGCGCCGCAGTCCTCAGCCCAGGAGCCAGGTGGCCGCCAACGCCGCGGCCGCGCCGAGGAGGCCCAGGCCGCCGCGGCCGCGGGCGCCGCTGAAGGTGCACTGCACCCGCTCGGCGATGATGGGGCTGGCCCTGGTAACCATGCTGTGGGCCGCCTCCTTCGGGGAAAAAACCAAACGACATAAGCACATAAACTTGAAGGAGGGGGGGAAGGCCGGCGGCGGAGTGGGGCCCCCTCGGAGAGACTTTCAGGGAGGTGTTTGACCAGGCACTGGCGAACGGGGCTAAAGACTGTGCCAAACACTCTGTCAGAGAGGTCTCGCACGGCCTAAACCGCAGGGCGGGAGCGGCCGGATTTCTTGGGCATGGCGGCGCCTCTGGCGCCGCCCCTGGCGCTCTCCGCACGCCGGGGAGGCGGGCTTGGGGCAGATCCAAGACATCTCCGCGGACCTCCGAAAGTTAATGTTCATACAGTTGTTTGTTCTTGTACTCCTGGTGGAAGGCCAGGATCCCAAATCTGACATGATGTGCTTCAATCCGTGCGTGCTCCCGGCAAGTCGACATCTGGGAGCCCCGCTTGCGGGCCCAAGGACAGGCAGCAAAAACTTTTCTCGTCGGCGGCGAGGCGGCAAGATCCGCTCCCGCGAGCAGCTAGGTAGGGGCACTGGAGTTGGAGGGAGGGAGGAGGGCGGAGGAGGGAGGAGGTGGGATGAGGGAGAAGGAGGGAGGAGGAGGGAGGAGGAGGGAGGAGAGGGGAGGCTGGAGGAGGGAGGAGGAGTGAGAAGGAGGGAGGAGGGAGGAGGGAGGAGGGAGGAGGGGCCGGCGTGCAAGGGAGGGGGGCGGCCGAGAGGAAGGAGGGACGCTCAGACGCCGAAGGATTCGACGATGGGCAGCCGGGCGGGGCGGGCAGCAAGAGCACGCCCGAGCCGAAGAGACTGCCCCCCGAGGGAAAAAGCGGCCGAGGGGCCCTGGGGCCGCGGACGGAACAGAGAGCAATTCGGCAGATGTCGAGGGAGAGCCGTGAGCACAGGCTGTTTGCGGGGGGTCCGCCCCGATCTCCTGGGGAACGTTTCCTTGGCCGACGTTTCGACATTGGGCGGAATGAAGGGGCCCAAGGACACACAAAGAAACACACACAACTAAAAGGAATCCCAACATGTTCCCGTATGTTCTGGGTTTTTGTCTTCCCCCCACTTCCCATGTTTTCCCACATGTTCTGGGGAATCGTCGATGAATTGTGTCTGTGTGCTTCTTTCCCTCCTGACGGAAGGGGGGGGGGGGTCTGGCTCCGGACCTCTGCTTCCTGCGACAATGTGTGCACCGCAAAACCGTCCCCGTGGGGG